GTTGCAGTGAGCTGAGATCGCACCACTGCACTCCAGCCTGGTGGTAACCTAGCAAAACTCTGTCTTAATAAAAAAAAAAAAAAAAAAAAAAGCTAAAATATTTTAAACAATTAAAAGTTAAATGGTATTCTATGAAAGTTTCTATTGGGCCGGGGGTGGTGGGTCACACCTGTAACCCCAGCACTTTGGGAAGCTGAGGTGGGAGGATAGCTTGAGGCCCAGAGTTTGAAAGCAGCCAGAGCAACAAAGTGAGACTTCATCTCTCTAAAAAGTTTAAAAAATTAGCCAGGCGTGGTGGTATGCCTGCAGTTTCCAGCTACTCAGGAGGCTGAGGCAGGAGGGATTGTTTGACCCCAGGAATTCCAGATTGCAGTCCACTATGATTACGCCACTGCACTCCAGCCTGGGTGACAGAGCAAGAACCTGTCACAGAATAAATAAAAAACAATAAAAGTTTCTTTTGCAAAAATACAAACTATACTCAGAGTACACCTAATTGTTTTCATCATCATAGTCAAATTCAAACAAGAGTAGTAACTACACAAAAATACTGCTTTAAGTTATTGCTTGAAACAAATGTTTCAAAAGAAACCTTTTGAAAGGTTAACTGATTATACTCAGCCATAATCTAATATGGATTGTTACATGACTGATAATTGGCTAAACTACAAAAGTCCAAGCTTCTAACAGCCGTGCAATACTTTCTCCCTACAAACCTATTACCTGAATGGATATGGCATGGGAAAAACATGCTCATTTACCAGAAGTCTCTCACTCTATTCACATCCACATAACTTCACACTGTTTACAATCTTTAGAACTATTAGTCTACTTAAGAATTGGTAAAGAACTACTTTTAAAAATCATTTTAAGGCCATCATAAAATATTCTTGATTCAAAGCTAAATAATGTGATCATATGTATCATTTGGAGAATGTCATTTGTAACTTCAAAGGCCTTGTTTCAAAATCTGCTGTTTAATACTGAATATTTAATATTTGACGCAACAGAATAGGATAAATACATTAGAAATCAAAAACTTTTATGATATTGATAAGTGACATTTATAATTAGATTGGCATATATATACTTAACTACTATTACAAAAAAAGCAGAAGTCTCTTATTCTTTTAAGTACAAAGATGTTTTTTAAATGTAGTCTTTCTCATATTAAATAGGCCCAAAATAACTGTAAACATATATTAAACAATAGTTTCTACCAAGGGAAAACAAGAGAAAAAGTGTATAGATTTATACCTTCATAACTACAATAATAGAAAACGTTGAGCGCCTCTACTGCGGCTGGTCCCCTCTGTTTATAGCCAAAGATCAGATCTATCCATTCATGAAGATGAGCTGAAACGTATTCAGATTCCTAGAAAAAGAACAATTTTAATATAGAAATATCTTCCAACTACAATGTAAATTCAGTTCTTTAAAAAGGTAAGAACAAATTAAACATTTCTACACACAAATCTTTCTGGCTGCAAAATAAAATTCTCTCAAAATAATGCTAAGCATTTGTTCAATATCTACTACATACATTAACTTTTCCTATCGACTATAATGTGAATATATTTATTAACATTAACATAATCATTTCCTAATAGGTGAATAAAATACAAATATGCTTATAGCAGCCCAAAAACAGCAACAGAAGAGCTAAAAGATAGCTATGGAATGCATCTCTGCAGCAAAATTTCCATTGAATAGTTGTCTAGAAATTCAGTTCAAGAAAAAAAAAAGATCAAATTAAGAAAACAATGAAACCACACTTAGGTCGAAAAAATGGCTACAAATCATTCTCTCCTTCACAGTAACCACTTACTAAGAGGAGGACTGGGTGGCAGGTAGAGAACTCCTGGAAATTACTAGTGATAACTTGAAAGACAATGAGGAAATTGTTATTGGAGACAGGAAAAAATGAGACTCATGTTTTAGTTACACAGAAGAATGAATTCATATATTTGGGTGTGCAGACTTCCAAATAGAACATTTTAAAGTGCCATTTGGCTTCTTCTAGATGCTTATGATAAAGTGTGAGAGGAGTAAGATGGGCTAAAAAAATGAACTATTTGATGTTTTTGGTGGGGGAGATGGAGTCTCTTGCTCTTTCGCCCAGGTTGGAGTGCAGTGGCGCAATCTCGGCTCACTGCAACCTCCACCTCCCAAGGGTTCAAGTGATTCTCCTGCCTCAGCCTCCCAAGTAACTGGGATTACATGCCCAGCTAATTTTTTGTGTTTTTAGTAGAGATGGGGTTTTACCATGTTGGCCAGGCTAGTCTTGAACTCCTTACATCAGGTGATCCAGCTGCCTCAGTTTCCCAAAGTGCCTCCCACCATACCAAGCCAAAAATGAACTATTTGATTTTTAAGCACAATTTAAAGAAAATATAAAAGAGCCAGATCTTGCTGGATTCAAAAATAAAACCATTGCAAGAGCCAGGCATGGGGACTCATGTCTGTTATCCCAGCACTCTGGGAGGTTGAATCAGGCGGATCGCTTGAGTCCAGGAGTTCGAGACCAGTGCGGGCAACATGGCAAACCTCCTCCTCCCGCACCCCGGCCTACAAAAAATTAGCTGGGAATGGTGGCATGTACCTATGGTCACAGCTACTCAGGAGGCTGAGGTGGGAGGATCACCTGAGCCCAGGAGGACATGGCGGCAGTGAGTTGTGACAATGCCATTGCACTCCAGATGGGTGACATTTCTCAGTCCCAGGATCTCTTATGTTTTGCCTCATTTTGAAAGCATTTCAGACCTTCTGAAAACCACTTTGAGAAGGCAATGACTCTCAAAATGAGAAACTGCCTAAGGCAACTATCAAATCAGAATGTCACCATTAAAATATAGTCTTGGGTAAAAGTTTAGTTCTTGGCTGTAAAACAATCTGTTGAGACCTCAGAAAGATTTAAGGTTGTGCCCCACAGACCCACTCAACTAGAAAATAGTGTGTAGGAATCTTAAGAGCATTTTTCCATAGTAGCCTCCCAGCCAGCCCAAAGTAGATAAGGGACTGTTGCGTAAAGTAATGCTGAATGGCTTTTATCCAATAGAGCTGACACATAAGAAACCTGTAAGGTTTTAAATGGAATTATACTAGTTTAGAGTAAAAGAGAGAAACTTTAAAAAAGAAGAGAGATCTTTGGCTTTCAATTTGCTGTGGTTAGAAAAGAGGCTGACAAAGATACTCATGTAAACAAAGTTTGTTTGTTATTTTTTTAATGGAATAAAAACAATGACTTCATGGGGAACCAAAAGCCCAAAGGTAGAACCAAAAGCCACTGAGAACCCCTCTTGGGAAACAGGACTGGGCCCTAATAGGAGATGTGGGAGCATGTCCCTACTGGAATTCTGAATTGATATAAACCAATGATTGCCAGGAGCCTCCTGTTTTTCTCTTCCTTTCGAATGGGAATGTCTGTTATAAGTTCTCTTATCATTTCATACCACTGTTGTTATATGGTGACAGATAACTTGCCTCTTTAGTTCAGGCTTCAGATGCAAGAGGAGCCACATCTGAGTAGCTTCATCCATACACAGACTTGATTACATAATGAGATCCTGAACTTTAGCCCTCAAGTCTTACTGCAGAATAGCAAACTACTACCCGTGGATCAAATTTGAGTCACTGCCAGATTTGTAGATTAGTAGTAGAACACAGCCACATCCATTTGTTTTTGCAGTACAATGGCAGAACTGAGTAGCTGTGACATAGATCTTATGACCAACGAAATCTTATAATTTCCAAAAGATTTACCCTCTGGCCCTTTACAGAAAGTTTGCCAATTCCTTCTCTAATGAGATGAGAGTTTTGTGGGAAGCGTATCTGGAGAGGAAGTGAATATATTTTGCATGTAGGACGAAAATAATTTGTGACCAGAGGGCAGAATATATGTTGATTAAAGAAAGCTACAAATTCTTTCTCACTCTTAGCATTGAAAGATGGAGTTCAATTTCCCTCCTCTTCAGTCTGGCATTGATACTGTTACTGTTTAAACATTACAAGGTGGACAATTAGGAAAGACCCCGATTAGGAACAGCTCAGGATTGCAGCTACCAGCCAAAGCGCAGAGGGTGAGTGGACACCGCATTTCCAGACGGATTTTTATTGCCCACAGACCAGGAGATTCCCAGGCGGAGGAGCCCCACAGGTTCCTCCTGTGGGGCTGTTTTGGCCGGCGCAGCTGGTTCGGCCAGAACGGCTGTTTTGGCAGAAGTGGCTGTTTTGGCCGGCGCCGCGGCAGGGCAGTTCTCTGTACAAAATACACGGGTCCGAGCACTGTGTTAGCTGGCGATTGGAGCTTGGGGAAGACAGAGTTGCCCATTCAACTGACAGAAAAGGGGACTGAAACAAGGAGCCAGGCCAGGAGATTCCCGGGCAAAAAAGCTCCACAAATCTCAGCACAGCTGTTTCAGCCAGCACAGTGGGTCACGGCACGGGAAATCACACAGATCCCGGCGCCTTTTCAACAGATGACTGGAACACCTGGGAGACAAAAAAAAAAAGGCTCTGAGGCAGGGAGCCAGGTTATCAGTCTCGGCTGGTCCCACCCCCACAAAAAAACAGCAATCTGAAATGCTCTGGATTGAGAGTTTCACAGCAAGCACAGCTGAAACCAGGACAGTGCAGCTCTGTGGGGGAGGGGCGTCTGCCATTACTGAGGCAGTCCACCACTATGGAGGTAGTTCGCCATTGCTGAAGCAGCCCGCTGTTGCTGAGGCAGCCCGCCATTACAGAGAGAGTCCGCAATTACAGAGGTGGGCCACCATTGCCAAAGCAGTTCTAACTACACCCGTATAAACAGGACTGCAGTGAAGTTCACACAGCAGCTGGGCAGAGCCCACAGCAGCTCAGCAAAGCCTCTGCAGGAAGACAGTGACTAGGCTGCCTCCTCACTGGGCAGGGCAGCCCTGAAAAAAGCCAGCAGCACAACAGAAACTCATAAATAAAGCCCTAACTCCCTGGGACA